AATTTCAGTTGTACAACAGAACAGTTTTTTGCTCTAAGTAGAATATGACCACAACTACACATCATTCTTCCACCCTCAGCTTCAGGTGGTCCTGCTCCTTCTTCCCTGTTTTCTTTCATCTTCCCACTCAAGAGATTACTCCTCCCCAAGCTGCCGTGGTTCAAGTGTAGCATGACTATCCCACAGTGTCACCCAGTAAATTCAGGGCTCGGATCTAGAGCATAGCCCACTGAATGGGTGCAACTTTCTGAAGGGAGGAGGTGTGAACCTCTGAAATCGAATGTACTGATAGCGGTGTGGGAATGTGAAACTACAAACTAATGAATAACAGATAGCAGCCGTCAGGCAATAACACCAATGGGATGGTGGATGAGGTCAGTGCCATTAATACTTAATGAATGTGTATATTTTAAATATTTTCACAAGTAAATCACTTTACGCCTTACTGTGGTAGGAATTTTCCTATCTTCGGGTAAAATAGTGTGTTGGGTTTTCTATGGATTTTAGGCAGAGTTATTCCAAGTGCAGTTCTCTAAAGGGTTTTAATACTTGGGTGCAGAAGCTGCATAGAGCTTCATGCTTGTCTCCACCTACAGAGCAGGTGCAGGTGTCAAAGTTGCTGTAAATAGTCCTGCGACCAGTATTATGCATCTGTAGGAGGGCTTGGTTGCAATGTGAGAAATCATTAGCCCTCCTTGTCAGTTGTTAAGGAGCTGGAGCTGTCCCAACCTCTGTATCTACTCTGTGTCACATGCTTAACTGCTGAAAGCCACACAAATACTGAGGGTATCTGCAGGGTCCACATGCCAGGAGCTGCTCTGGTAAACTAGAACTGCAGCTCACTAGTCCTGCAAGGAGCGCTGTATAATCTCATGGTAAAGGCAGAAGAGTAAATGTCACCTAGTCAGTCGATGATTTGTAACTTTATTTACCACAGCTCATGCTGTTCCATGACACCAGCCTCCATAAAGAAGGTTTCAGGAAAAGTTTCAAGGCAGGCTGTCTGCAGTTTTTCTATGAGGGCAGTTGGACTCTGGTTGGAATGCAAAATGCCAAACTAGTTAAGTTACATTAACCGTAACAGGTTGACTCCCTGGCAGAGTCAGATTCAAATAAAAGCTTTGGCAGCAAGTCTTTCTTGCCTGCAGTGCGTCCTTCCCTCTGCACTTGTTTTTTTCAGCTGAGCACCTTTGAGTTGCCTGCTGCACTGCAATAAATTCCTCCTGGACTCCTCTGGCACTGGAAGAGCTCTTCTCTGGCAATCTGGCAGTACAGGCACCTCCTCTTGGACACCTCCCAGGTTGCATCCCCTTGTCTGCTTTGTCTTTCCCTCTCGCTTACCTTGCCCTGCCGCCACAAGCTGCTCACAGTTCAGTGTGCCCTCTGCACTCCGGGCACCAGCAAGAATCCCTCCTCCTGAAAGGTTTTGTCTGACAAGAGCACCCAAAGCAAAGGAAGAAACACACCTTTCTCCCTGCTGCCCAGTCACAACCCCTTTAACAAAACTTTTTGCTATACAACATACCTTAATATTAGTATAGTAAACTATGAGCAAACAGATGAGATCACTCAGCTATCCATTATGGAAATTTACAGAGATCTGAGCTGCACTGAGCATCATCTACTCTGCTCAGAAAATATACTGTCAGGATCTAAAGTTTATGGTGTTACAGCAAGTGCCAGAGTGCACCTGAGCAAAAATGAGCAGGAGTCTGCAGGCTGATGGGCAGAGAGCAAATGCAGGAGCAGAGCAGAGTGGGAAAGAGATGCTGCTGAGAGCAGAGGAGTTCAAGGGGAGTTAATAACTCTACATAACCTTTTCCTAATATAGCAGCAGTGCTCCAGATGTGGAATAGTCTGTGCAGGGTAGCAGAGACCTCTCATTAGAAAGGCCAACGCTTCAGGTCTGAGCCAGGCTTTAATGAATGATTCCTGTTTCAGGTAAGCGCTGCTGACAAGGCTGTTCTGTCAAGACACAGAGCCCAGTGGGCCCATGCTGCTGTGCTCTCGTTTATGCCCCTACCAACTGGGCACCACAATATTCACGGGCTCAGCTTCCCCCGACTTCATTAGGAGCAGCGTCTGACCTCTGTGAATATCCATCTTTCCACAAACATAAGAGCAGAGAGTAAAAGATAGAAATCATAGCATATAATGCCCCAAAAATTGGCAGAGCCCTGGAGAAATAAATTGAAAGTAAAATAAAGAATATAGGCCAAAAAATCATTACAACCATCTAGAAATAGAGCTGAAGGGAGAGGGTCATCAGTATGGCTAAGATAAAGTCTGGGTGAACTACAAGAGACAAGAAAGGCAATTCAACAGGTAAGCAGCAGCTGCAGGCAGCTAGATGAGTTCTTTGAACCATTTCCCTATTGTTCATGGTGGGAGGAATGTAAAAATTCTTCTGGGAACTCCCTTCGGGTAACCAAGGCATAGCCATGGCACAGAGTGAGCTCTCTGAGGGAGAGGCATCAGAGCAAGTAGAAACACTTATTAACAGTCCCTCGTCAGGGCTTGATGTTGTTTTCCTGAGAGGTGAGAAGGAAGTGGAAACAAAGAAAGTAGTTGAACTAACTGAAGTGTTGAGTGTGACCAAGACCTGGTGGGTGGGTATACTCTGCCTTCTGTCTTTGTAAAGGGAATTTACAGAGTGCTGGTACCATTTCAGCTGAAAGGAAAAGTTTTAGATAAAAGTTATTAAAGGCAGGTTCATGGGCTGTATAGAGGCAACTAAACAGAAAAATTATGGAAGTGCTACTACTGCTGCTAATAACAGTTCCTACAAATAATGGCACGTAGGATGCCAAGTGTAGTCTAGAAAGCAAGGAAGATACTGGTGAATTTATTGACACTATGTATCTGCTCTCCTGGTAGTGATCAAAGTCTTCCAGAAAAATCACTGCTTCCCCCTGAGCCCCTATAGCACAGTAAGGAGGTATTTTAGGAAAGGAAACTTTGTGCATGGTTTATTAATGCCATGGAGCAGGCAGTTAATGAATGCTTTTGAATTACCTTTGCTGACTCAATTACAAATGTTAGCATTTATGAAACTATCACTCTTAAATGCCAAGTCCTCGATGCTTGTAGCCTCCCACTGCAGCGAAGTGCACAAGCCTACAGCAACCCTGGCAGGTACATCCTTGTGGTGTCCCAGGCTGGCAGCTCCCTGCTCTGCCCCATCCCTCCTGCAGGAGGGCCAGTGGCCTAGCGGGCCGTGTGTGTGAGAACTCTCCTTCCATACCCAAAGGGAAAGGGATTTGGAGCCGACCTACTGAGTCTCTGTCCCTTTGAGCTTTCTGTCCACTGTAAAAGAGGAGGCTGCCGGAGTCCCGAGGGCTCCCAATGCTAACACAAATACAGAGTGGCATCATGAAACAGGAGGTTACAATGCTTTAAATGCAGCCTGAATAAGGCCCTAAAATTGTCCTTAATGAGTTTAGATTGGCTTCTTCCTATGCATTCTTCAGGCTTTTTATTACCAGGTCACTCTGGGCAAGCTAATAATCACAGAAACTGTGCAGAGCCTTGAAATGGAATGGGTTAGCTGAGCTAATCAGAGAAGTACCTCTCTGTTTCATCAGCCAGATTTTGTGGGTAAGTTAACAGAAACTAATATTCATTGATGTTCTTCATCCAAACAGTACATGTTTGTTTTTGCCTCATTCCTACCATTAGATCAGCCATGCAAACTGTGTCTTGCTGCACTCTGCTGTGGTTTAGAGCAGGCAGATCCAGCCTGAATCCTAGATGACAAATTTCCATAGCTGGTCACTTGTGCATGACGTTTCTTAGCTCAGACCAGCTCACTGTTTTGTACAGTTTCACAACTACACTGAGTTAGACTAATTATCTACAACTATACTGAACTAAAAAAATGAAATACAGAGAAGCTTTGGATTTGTTGTAAACAAGTTAATCTTTGAAAGGCTCTGCTACAAACTGTTTCCTAGTTTCTGCTTAAAACACTTTTCCCTCAGGCAACGTATCTCTACCAAGTAATCATGCCCTTTTCATTTGGCAAGCACTGATTCCCCCAATTCCCACCTCTTCATTTTGTACAAAGCAAAAATGAACATGGTTTCATTGGCAGAGCAAGAACTGTTTATCCAGGCATTTATCAACTGGGGAACTCCTACGTGCTCAGATTTGCCATTTTTCATAGTACATGCTTCACTCTGTAAACAAACTTTCCCCCCCCAGAAAATTTTGATACCAGAGGTCCAAGTGGTGGCCTGATTACTGATAGTATGCAGAGCACTTCAAAATGAGCTGTGTCTCAGTACAGAGCTGGGACCTTTCACAGGCAGTGGTGCCATCTGTTTCTTCCAGTTGCGTTACCAGACAAGAAACTTTCCTAGACTCCTGACCTAAAACTCACTCTTCCCACACACATACTCCTTGATCTGTGATCAGTAGATTGTCTCTTAATCTCCCATGCTCCCACCAGCTCCAGAGCATAACACTGCATTTTGACGTACTTGCAGGATTGCAGACAAAATAGCCACGGTAGCTCTTTTAAGTTAGGAACCACCCCAGTAGCAACATTAAACTACCATTGTAAGGTTATGATGTATTGGGAAGATGAATTTGGGGGTTTATCTACTTCCTCTATTATTTCAGGCCTGATATTCACATGGGTAAGTAAAAAAAAAAAAAAAAGATAAGGTGGCTATAGCTGTCTCCAGATACCCTGAGAGGTGATGCGTAATGACATTTCTGCCCTGTGGGCAAGTAAGAACTATTCCCAAGAGACATGATAATATGACAAAAAACCCCAAATCCACTGCAACTGAAATTCGGCATTCAGGGTTCCAGCACTTAACGAAGTCTCCACAAAAAGGTTGAAATCTTTTAATAGAGGTGAAGGACAGCAGTTAGCCACCATAGGCTATCGCCATGCAAAACAGGAGAAGCATCAATAGTTTTTTGACAGCAGTGAGACCAAAGGCCTTCCCATTATTTAAATGTGACCTCTTTGCAATGTTTCTGTCCTACAGAGAAGTTGTTACTTTCAACCACTTCCTGGAAGAAGCAGCAGAAAAAGAAGTGCGGGGAAAAGCCAGGCTCCAGCACTTCATTGAGAACCTATTGCAGCGCGTGGATCTGGCAGAAAGGCAGTTAGAATATTACCAAAATCGGCAGATGGTGTGCAGCCACACCGACATCAGCGAGCACGTGGTAAGCCAGCAAAGTCCTTCCCTTCATTGTCACCCACCACCAGAGGGAAAGTATTGGAATTTGAGTACAGGTGGGCTCAGTGGGACAGGCTGATTGCTACTCCAGACAGATTTGGATTCGTAACCTGTTTATTCAGGCTTGTTTTATTTATGTTTTGAACTGCTACTTCACATGAGCAAAACAAGCAGAAAGTATCAGAGCAGCAGTAGCCAAAGATGGGAAAGGGAGAGCAAAGAATAATGAAATATTTGCCAGATATTTAACTTTTTTTTCTCAGCTTTGGCTATTGCTGCTGTTAACCTTTGCAAGAAACACTTTCCTTTAAGTCACTTAGTGACTTGGCAGGTTTTTGGAGATCTCTAAAGGTTTTCAGGAAAGATATGGATCCCTATAGAGGACACGTCAGCCTGCTGGTAAGTCAGGTTGCTTTCTGTAGTTACCTATCATGTAAATCTTAGAAATGGTGAATGGATTCCCACAGGCCTGTCCCCCACATATTAGAAACCAAAGCTGTCTAAACATTGTTTTTTAAAAATACATGATTTTTAAAAAATCCCTCATTATTAATACTTAAACTCAGTATTTTCCCTAGAATGCGTTATATTTATACAGCAAGTTTTATCCACATGGCTTCCAAAGACTATTTCAGTTTGGATGAATACCAGATACTGCCTGTGCAGTAACTGCTTGTCCTGGGAGGTGGGAGGAAAAAGCATTGATCATGGCACAGCACCGAATAGGTACGGAGTGGTGGGAAGCAAAGGTTCCTGTAGCAACCTGGAAAACAAAGAATTTTAGGCAAGACCTGTAAATGTCCTGAAATCTAGCGCAGGACATCTCAAACAGTGCCTGTGAGAACACTGAGGGGGGCTGTAAAGATGGGCCTCGGTATTAAGTCATCTCCCGTGCTCTTGATGCGTTTAGCAGGATCCCTGGCTCAGCAATGTCCCTTGGGGAAGGCACTAATTTTTGAGGCAGCTGCCCTGCTTTCTGAGTGACTTCAGCATTCCTCTGAGGTCATCCTTCCAATTATTGACCAGCCTGACCTTCAGGACGTAATTACAGAAAAGCACACCATGAGATGGCTCCAGACTCCATCCAAGACAGACGACAAGCAAAGTCAGGCTGGGCAAAAATCCATCTGCAAAGTGTGGACAATACCAGGGACAGGGGAAACATTTACGAGGACATAATCATTTTCATATGCCAGATCTGAGTTGCTTGGCTCCATGACTTCATCAAATGATATTCAAAGGCTCAGTCTAGCAGCACTGATAGGAGATCAGTACAAAGAACCGATTCAGTACCCATACTGATTTAGGCTGAGCTGACATTGAACAGCTCCTTTCCTGACCCCTGCTAAAAGAGGGACTAGACAAATTGTTTCCAGGCTGTGAACCAAACTGTTGTAAAAAATGAAGTCATGCAATGCTTGTGCTGGCGCTGAGGCTATGCTGTCACTAGCTGGTCTCAGGATTTGGGGTGGGAAGGGAGAGAAAAGGTTGCGTTCTCATCCTCCACCCTTCAGTGCTGCTGTAGGCAGAGCCAAGGTCTCGTAGCTGGAGTTCCCTGGCCACTTGTATAAAGGAAATGGATCACTGCAAAATTAAATGCCCTGAGAGAAAGTTAATTTAATATAGCTTATTCAGGCACTGTACATTATTAATTCTCTTGAACACAGTAGTTACTTCTCATTGTATCCATACTGTTTAATCTAATGTGAAAGATCTCTGTTCAGCCCACACTTCTTTAGCAATTTACTTTTATTATAGTTACGATAAAAATAATGAAGAAAAATCCAACCAGTAACAACTCACATGTTATGAATTTTAAAAACAGATTAAATAAGTTGGAGGAGTAGTAGTCTGTAAAAGTTTTTTTTCCGTTTCTTTCATGAATATTCTTCTAGTTTTAACAGCAGGTGAGAATGGAAGTATGATTTTGAAGACTGTGTATATTTTATCCCTATACTTTAATTACTTTATAATGTAATAGGAATATTAATAACCTGTTTCTGTTTTCTTTGCAGTTTACAGACATTTCATTAAATAAGAAACCCAGATGCCTGTATGTATATCTTTCTATTTTTCTTCTTACTTAAATATACTAACGACACGCTTACGTTTCTGCTTTTTGCACTTCACCTTATCCAAAAGCCTGAATCGGGTTAGGTTTGGATCAAGTTCTGTACCTGAGTATGATCTATATTTATGTCATGTAATAGAGGAAAAGCAGATTTCTGCTAAAGCAAGCTAAAACAGTTATTTTGAAAAAAAAAATGAATAATTTCAGTTAAATTAATGACTCCTTGCTGCTGACTGTGATAGCCTATTGCAAAGCTACAGTAGTTGAATCTCTTCAGCAGACACAGGCCAAGTTTCATCTGAAAGCATCTTTAACATTCTGTAGGTAGAAAAGAGACAGTTGTCATTTCCTAACTGACAGTAACACTGTCAACTTAAAAATCACATGTAAGCAAACGTGTCCTACCAAAGCATGGGCACTAACAACATCTCAGGTTACTCAAGCAGCTGTCCTGGGAGCAGCAGAACTAATGGGGGCTGGTTTCCCATGTCGTTGTGACTTGTCGTGAGTCTCAGCAGCTGGTTTGGAGCATCACACATGCCACTTGGCCAAGCGACGGTCAGGTAGTGCATCCTTCCTCAGGGCAGCATTTCTTAGTGGAGACACGAGTTTGGGTCTTTTTGCCTGTTAAACCTGTTGCATCACCACAGGTCTGGGACTTCTGCAACCCTGACAGATTTGTATGTGTTTGACCATGAACAGATGAATGGTCTGGAAAATAAACAGAAAATACAACATGTAGCCTACTGGGTTGAGGTTGGGGCTTTTTGATCTTTGGGTTGGTTTTGGTTTTCATGTATCTTAGTCCTAGCAGGCAACTGGCCAAGTGCTCTTTTGCCAGTAAGCAGTGTTTGCATTAATAATTAACAGCATGGGGATTTAGCTTTGGTTTTTCTACTTCTTATTTTCATAGCTTTTATATCTTTTTTTTTTTTTTCCCCTACTGATCTGAGATTCTGGAAAAACTTGATTATCCAAAGTAGACTTTGAGTTGACTGTGCCTACACTTTTCAGGCTTCTAGGTGTCTTAATATGATTGGAATCCAGGAAGACAGAATTAAAATATAAACAGTGAATTCAGTGACTCGGTGAGATGAGTCCTTCCACTGACAAGTCTTTGGTGTAAATATAATGCAGTTTGGTAAAACCCATTAATTGCTGACAAATAGTGGGAGTTCAAAGGCATACATGAAATTGTTTAGAGGTTTCTGTTTAACTACTGGTATACTTCTCCTTTGAAAAGACACTGTTAGAACTAGGAGTTATTAGTAGCCATTACTTGGAGTTACCAGGTTAAAAATGGCCTAACTTGTCCTGCAAAGAAGGGAGGATAGAGGAGAGGCTGGTCAGAGCGGTAGGAAAGTTTTGTTTTGTTCTGCCTGTTCTGTGGATGAATCCAGCATTTGTGTTCATCACACCAGCTTTTGTAAAGCTGTACCTCAGCTAAGTACATAAAACGAGGTTTTAATGACATGTACCAGTTAGAAAAATGGGGAAGTTTTACTACCCATCCAGAAAATTCAGTGCCATCTCGGAGGGTTTGGGGCTGCTGATGGCTTACATTGTTTGGGATCAATGGCTGGACTTGCAATCCCTCTTGCTCCAAGGCCTCTGCCTTGCTTCCCTGTTCCTTTTCTCCAGTTTCTCCCAGCTGTTTTCAGGAAATGCCCCACTGAGGGCATGGCAGACCTTTGCTGAAGCTCACTAACTGTTTCTCAAAGGCACTGAGACTTGCCTGCACATCTCTGCCTAAATCAACTTTACATGCAGTTCCTATTGCAAAGAAGCTAAGAATTAGGTCTCTCGAAGTCACGAGACCCGTCTCGAAAAACACCTGATGTTTGTGAAATGCAGCAAGAATAGGATTGTTTAGAAGTGCCTGTGGCAGTGGGGTGCATTTAGTCACATCATTTCAGTCTTTCTCCATAATGTGACAGATTAGGAGTATGTTTGAGTAGAAGTTCAGACTCTCACAGTCACTTGCATCCAGGAGCTGCTGCTTTCGATGAAAAAACATTTCCCACATCTGGAGCTGGCAGCATTGCATTTCATATGCAATGGCCTGCATCTTCATCCGTCTTAGATACCTTCTTACCCTGACTGTCAATTAGGGACAGACATCCATCTTCTCTACCATAAACTCATTAAATTTAAATACAATTTAGCTCTTTTAGGCAATCCTCTCTTATGATATTAATGTTGACCTTCTTCTGGTTTTAATAGCATCATTCAGTGCAGCAGAGAGGAGTGACTAATATCACCTGCAATAACACATGCGTGTGCTTTGGGAATAAATGATGTAACTTTTTCACCGTAACAACATCCAAGAAAAACAGAGCACTACATCTTGTAACAACAACTCAGTAATGGACTGTAACAAACAGTGCCCAAGAAGCGATCATAAACCAGAGTGGCCAACACCTGTGCATTTACACAACTGATTTCTAACCCCTACCAAGTGGGTGTGCACTAGGCCAGCAAGGCACAGCATGTGCAACCTCCAGCTTGGACCTGCATGGCATTTTCCCCTCAAAACTTCCCTATAGTGAAGTCTGGTTGGCAGAGCTGACAACCAAGGAAAACTGTTCTGTAGGTAAGGCTCAGTTCCTGTGCTGTCAACTGGCCCTCAGTGCCTCCCACCAGCAAATACAAAGGCGCTTGTTTACACCCTTCTGGTCTTTTAAAGAGCAGGAGAGGGCGTGCACTGTACACACTTGAACAACCGCAGCTTTTTCCAAAACGGCATTTTCAAGTAAGTGTGCAATATTAACTCCCAGGAGAAGTAATAGTACACATATGTTGTTTCCAGAAATAATGAGCTATGGAAAAATAGCCCTACAGGAATCCTTAAGAGATTGACTTGTACATCAGCACGTCAGTTCTTCACTTCAGTCACAGTAGCTGGGCAATAAGAGCTGGTGCCTTACGTTCATAGCACTGCTGTTACACTACATGTATCTGCTGTAATCTGCTAAAAGGGACTGTAATGATCTTACTTCACTGACCTGTGAAACTGCGGTTTTGGCATAAAATTTCAGAGCAGAGGGCATGGAATCAGCCTTTGTAGCACCAGGCACCATGCTGGCACCCCACGTGAAAACACTGATTTCAGCAAATCCTGCTGGGCCTGAACCATTGCAGAGAGAACAAAGAATTGAGCTTACTTTGGCCTTTAAGCTTTCATACCTGTCTTCCCAACAATTTGTGTATTCCCCTTTCCTCTTCTGTTTCAAATAAAGCCTAAAAGCAAACCTGAAGTTTCCGTAGATGGGTGGCCAGCACAAAGGTAGAGTGTGGCGTTTCCTGAGCTATTGGCCATTAGTAGCAGCAGTTCCCTGGGGCCTGACCACAGTTTAGGGTAGCACTGAGATCCCACCAAGAAGTTCTTAGAGTTCCTGCACCTACTTTCAACTGTTACTGGTGCTGTGTGGTCTTCCAAGGCTATGGGATGTTCATTCTTTGCAGAAAGTTGCTGGGAACATGTGCATCTTTAAAATGCCTGTAGATCACCAAGTTATGAGAATATAGACCTCAGAAAGGTCTCGGCACTCCAAAATCAGCAGAATGCTATCTGAATAAAAGTGTAGATGAACATGCATGACAACTTCACCACTTACACATGTCGAGGTTCTCACAGTGAGGGATGCTTTTAAGTATTGAGAAATGTAATTCATCTTGCAACTCTGTTTTTAACTTTCAGCCTGGTCTGGTAAAACAAGGCTATTTCTGTCTTAAAAAATGTATGGGTTTGGGACTTTTGGGGACCTTTTACTGTGCAAGATTGAGTAACAGTTATTAATAATCCCTATTATTAATTTCAGGAGCCGAGGAAGTCAACATACTTCATATAACATCCCTGACGCAAAGCCTCATTCCTGTCAAAAAGGAAGGATCTTTTTTAAAAAAGCAAAGGATGAAAAAAACAGCTTGCAGCCAGTGAAATGCTTCTATGAACCTGTTGATTGCTCAAGAGAAATATGGAGAGCACAAAAGAAAGGCGAACCAGTCTGCTCTGCCAGGAAAAGTAGCGCAAAATCAAAGATGGGTAAAAAGGCCAGACCGTTATAGGAATGGTTAGCAATATATAGTAACACAGGAGCTTGGCTTCAACAGAACAGATATTGAATGAAGTTAATCATCCTGCTTCTTCCTATCTGGCCGTGCCAAAACATATCAGATATAATATATAGAAATATATATAGTATGGAAGATTTATATTATTTAGTAACGCCATTCCCTCTTTGGGCACTATAACAGAAGTGACATTTTATTCCGTTTACATGGAGGATTTTATATTTATTTATTTATTTATAGAGCTTATTTTAAATGACTGCAGTTATCTGACTGGGCAGTACTGTGGCTGTATGTTGAACTATTTTAGCAGCAACATGTGGCTTGGTAATTTATTTTCCATCTGTGCTGTTGCTGAATTTCGGAAGAGTCCATTTAATAGGCACCTAAATATTCAATCTTAGGTAGGTATTCAAGCCTAGGTAGGTATAAGATCAATGATTAACTGTTACCTGCACAGACATACTTGGATGCAAAAGGTCTACTTGAGTTTCTTGGAGGCTGGTTACAGGTTGCTACCCTGGATTTTCTGCCATAAGCCCGGTCGGATACATTTCCATATTTTATTACATGTATTAAACCACTCAATCCTGCCAACAGCCAGGTTGTCTGTTGGTACAGTTTGGGCTGCTCTGCTGTCTCAAGCACAGCTTTCAGATTCCAGAAGCGTTATGGTTTTGCCATATGTACCAGCCTCTGGTGTCACTTAGAGAGGAGAGCAGAAACTGGTACTGCAGCCTGGACAAGCATGGAGCCAGAGGAGAAATTTCGGTACCACGTGCCAGCAGCAGGTTATTGTCAGCTGTGGTGCGGCAAGTGAAAGGCAAAAGCAATGTGTTCCATTGCATGGCACCACGTTCAATGCCTGTGCTTGGTTTTAAGCATGAGAGACCTAAAATGGCTGTGATCATAATTGAAACCCATCACATTTTTATATCTGAAGAATCTTACAGGGCTGAGAGATCCCTGAATTTCAGCTAAAAACCCAAGAGTAAGGAAGTTAGAGACAACTGCAGAGTGGGAACACACATGTTTACATTGGTATGTGCCAATTAAAAGGATCCTTATTTATCAGATTATTTATCAAGATGATTGAGTGTACAGTTTTTTGGTAACATGAATCCTCATGCCATGTTTACAGATATGAACATCCTGTCAATGTTACTGATGAGATTTGTTTTCTCAAGAAAAAGAAGGGTGAGACAAGTCTGTGTAATTTATTTTTTAAATGCTCATAACAGATGTAAATTGTTTTTGTGGAAGGTGATTTTTACAGTATGTGTACGAAGATTTGTGAAAAATGTTTTTAATTTTTTATAACTATGACTGTAACCAGAACTGAGTACTAAAAGACAGTGTATCACTATGATTACTGCTGCAATAAGCACCGGAGTTGCAATATTTTTAAAGCAGAAGATGACTGATCAGTCATCTAGGATCAGGTAAGTACAGATGTTGTACATTTGTCAGTGTACAGACTCCCAGAAAGTAGCAGTGTGAAGAAAGACAGTATTATTCCTCACTTTTATTTTAAATAGTGTATGTGGAACAGTCAGATATATGTTTAAAGTTTCTCAACGCTTTTTCAGTAGAAAGTCACAGTGTAAAACTAATTCGGGTATTTAGGTTGTAATGACATTTTAATATTTGTGTAACTATGTCACAAGGCCACACTTGGCCTTACAGTAGGCATTGTGTATGGTGAAAAGGAGTTGTTAATTGTGTTGCATGGTTTTCAGTCAGATGGTGTATTACGACAACTTTCTTAGGCAAGCCACAAAATGGAAACATCCTTGAGTTTTTTCTGTTGCATCCCACATCTGCTTACAAACATGAAAAACTGACCCTTTTTGAAGATAATAAAGGTGAACTTTAGAAAGATAATAGAGTAAAATATATTCATCTGTTCCTTTATCCACTTGACACTGAAAGAATATTTTTGTTTTTAAATGCCTATCTGTTAGTCACCAAAGTTAAGTGCAACTAGTAGTTCACAAATGAGATGCTTATTTTATTATTTATCGCTCCAAAATCTTGACTGTAAGTTGTCCTTTTGGGGGAGGAAGAGAAAAAGAGAGTAAAAGAATTTGCATGTTTTTAAACTTCTCCAATCCTAAGTTACAGTTACTTGCTGAACAAATGCCAGATTAATTAATTGGAAAGAAATTGGATTGTACTGTAACCCCAGATAAAAGTTTTTAGAATATAAAAATTCTAATAATAAAGATATATTTCTCAGTTACTGTGTTGTGTAACTCTGTAAAATACAATGTTTCTTACAAAAGCCTACCCAACAGGAGAGAAAAAGACAAGAAAGAGCAGCCCTGCTTGGGCTTCTGTTCATTCCTCTGATAAAACACCACATCAGTGAAGTTGGGCTGTGATCCTTCGAAGCATTACAAATCAACCTGAAAGACGGAAGTGCAGTAGAAGACTGGACAAGAAGACTAAGTCCTTCTGACACCTGAGAGCCTGAATAACTTTCATCAGGAAAAATGGCTCCTTCCCACTCACACTTGCACAATTTACTAGCTCATTTTTCAAGTTAATGTCTGGTCATCAGCAGAACATGACTGCTGGATGTGTGTATCATGTCCACACTTCGTGTTGCATTAGCAGGTGGAATGCTTGAGAAGGGTTGGTACACGCACTCGCTGAATGTAGCTGGTGTTGTCTTGGGAAGACTTTATGATGAGATACCAGTAGAATCAGAAAATGTCAATTTTAAAATATTTTCTAAATCTGAAAGTGTTCTGACAAAGTTGGCAACTCATCTTTGAAAATTAATTTGAAGCACAGTTACCACATTTTGCTGTTTGAGACATTTTGAAGACATCTAGGTAGGTTGTATGTTCACATCAAAGTGAAATTCAGTAGGACCTGGATGCCTCATTCCCATATACATTTTTAAAATCACACCTCGTCTATAACAAAAAACATCTCAGAGCAGTGTGTATACTGGCTGGGCCCTTGCAGGTGAGCTTTCTGTTTAAAACAAAATGTTCTGGCCGATATGTAACATTACGTGCCAGGAAAACAAGAGATTAATTGAAACCTAGATCTTTAATTAGTGCTGTACATAGAAAAGGCACAATAATTTTGAGATGCGCTTGACAAGCTGAAGAGAGAGCATGTTTTTTAAAGCACTTGATGGCATCTGATCCCCTCTCTGTCTCAGCAGTAAGAACAGTAGCCCCTCGTCCAGAGGAGACCTGAACACCATTGTTTTGTTTCCAGGAGAGTTACTGGAAATATTCAACAGGATATTCATATTCAAAGGGATGGCCACCAATTAGAGCAGTTACTAGGCCAAACAAATTACCACTTCTGTCATCCCTAACAATCTAATGCTATGGGCTCTTTCAATCTACTTGAGCAAAATCCTGCTCTTCTCTCTTTATTCTGCGCCACCAGATAGTTGCCTTTATTTGTTCTTACCTCAGACTAATGCTGATTATTTCCATACATCCTGTCAGAAGTGGCTGAAGTGGACTATTTTAGTGCTCTCTGCAGTGGGCATGGGTTTTTTTTTTTTTTTTTTTTTTTTCAGAAAGAATAGTCCCAGAAGTGATTTTATGACATGAAACATACAAAAGCTCTTAAAAATAGATCCTGTTGTGACACAAACAAAATGTCCTTTCCCATTTTGTTGCTAGTGCCACCTCCTATCTAGCCATGCTTTTTTTTATCCTGGTCTCTTGAATTTTCATTTGTCCGTCTCTCCAAGGAGAGGGAGAAACAAGCAACGTTAAGTTAAATGCGGTCATTGGCTTGACAAGCCTTTCCTCCCTCTCTGTCTCTGTCCTAGCATTGCACACTGCAGGCAGGTAAGTTTGCTCCAATTTTTCATAGAATGGTGGAAAAAATAGATACAACAAATTTTGGGTTCTTATAATGTTGTGAAAGAGGAAGAGGCTCTTCTGAGCTGAGGGAGAAAAAAGAGGAGAAGAGATCCTCTGCTTGCTTGAGAAGTCACTTTCAAATATAAATTAGATGGGTCGGAGGAATTTGCTGTGTGCTCTGTGAGACAAAGGAAAATCAGCGTTAAGCAAAAGGCAGCAGTGAAAAGATGGGGGACATGTTACTGCCTGATGTTTCTTGGAGGCTTTGACCTACAGCACATCAGAATATATATGGCCTGACACATTCTGTCCCTAAATCACTCTTCAGACACTTGTTTTGAAGTCTAACTACTAATTTCAAAGTAAAAGACTTTAGGACCAGGGCTTCCAAGAAATTCCCCAAACTCTACCCACGGTATTTGTTAAACCATATTTTATTTGCTGTAACTGTGCTAAGGGGGGCTTCTCAGCAGGGTGAGAGGGGGGATCTGTGAACATTCGGTACTTGCTCTCTCCCATCTCTGCTCAGTGGCTGAGGGCCAGCAGCTCTGCCTGGACTCCACCCCAGCTGCCCGTCAGCTGGTTCCCACAGCAATGCTTTCCTTTACATTGCTTTGCTGGTTTTTCCATCTGCTTCCCAAGCTCCCTCCCTGCCTTTTCTGTCAGCTCAGTACCTTCAGCAACTTTTCTTATGCAGAAAGCACCTTTCCTGGGCCTTGGCCTGATAATAACCCTCAGAGACATTTGCAAAACACTTTCTTTGGCAGATCAGTGGCCATTGCTGCAGTAAGATGGCAGATTACTTCACTGTGCACAGCATGTCTGCTTCACTTGCCCCTCACCAGCTAGGCAGAGGAGATGGAGCATTACATGCTACACTGCACATGCACGATATTGACATTTTCTCACACCACAGCAAAGCTCAACCTGTCTACTCCAGCCATGACTACACCTCTGTGTACTTTTAAGCCAGTCTGGGGAACAGAGGGCCAGAAAACCATCTTGTTTCCCATTAAATGTACATTTGGGCCATACAGACAAAAGGCATTGTATATTCACAGCCGTGAATATGCAGCTGTACGTGGCGTAAGAGGATACCAACCTTAAAGTAGGCAGGTACGTGATTGGCTTCAGCTACCTGAACGATATCTCGAA